AAAATGTTGAACTTTTAAAAAATTTTATTGTTGAAGAAGCAAATTTTCAGATTACAACAACAGAAACTCTACATGATTTTATTCTGGTTTCAAACCATCTGAAAGAAATTCATACTTTGGTGACAATGACCATAAAAATAAATTGGACAAGAAAATGTGGTGCGTGCAAAAATAATCTCAAAGTATGGGAATGCACAACATTTGAAAATCAAATTGTTGAAGTAAGATGGGAGAAAAATAAACTATGCTTCAGATGTTTGAATTCTAATCATTTGTTAAAAAAAATGCAAAGACACAAGAATTTGTAGGATTTATGGCTGTACTGATACTCACAATTATTTGTTTCACAAGAAAGGGTTGTCTAGACAAAAGACATTTTGAAAAACAAAAGAAAAGAAGATTGTTAACAGAAAGCTCTTATACGTCAAACATCCAATTACATTTAAAACATGTAATGAACTGTATATCTTTTTCAACAGTTATTTTTGTTTGGAAGTAAAAAAGTAGTAGTCAACACATTTGCTTGACAATGTACCAAAACATATTTAAATTCTGATAACCGCTGAGTTATCACTGCATAGTAAAACAGAAAAGGTAACTTTAAACATGATAAATGGAAAAGCTGATTCATTTGAAACAATACTGGTGGAATTCCAGTTAGAATCATTAAATTAAAAAGCAATTATCACAAAGGAAACTTTTACAATAAATAATGTAACTGGAAACATAAAAGCAGTTAATTGGTCAAAGATATCAAAAAGTTGGAAACATCTAAAAAAATATCTAATTCCCAAATGATGGACAAAAACTAAAAATTGATATTCTATGACATGGATTATGCTGAGTAACACTGCAATTAAGGAAGTAAAAGGAGGATTTAATGAATCAGTAGTCGGACTAACACCGCTTAGATGGACATGTGTTGACTGTATTGGGGGATTTCTTCAAACACACTTTTTGAAAATAATACCTAATTCAAACAAAATAAAAAAATACAAACAACACAATTAAAAAGTTATGAGAAATTAAAGGTGATAAAGAGATGCAATTTAAAAAAATAATAATAATAAGCCCAGAAGACACAACCGCCCTTAACATAGTAACCAGTTGGCTAAAAACAGAAAATTGAAAATATGAGCTAAAATTACCATGGAAAGAAAATAAACAAGTAAAGGATAATTATACAATAGGATTAAACAGACTACAAAAAACAGAAACATGTTTTATGAAAAACCAAATTCTTGGAAATGAATATAATAACATTATTAAGCATTATCAAAAAGTGGGATTCTTGGAGAAAGTTGATAAAAAGAATCTAGGTGATGGTTTGTACTTACCGCATTTTTCAATTCTCTATACTGATAAATCAACTAAATAAGTCAGAACTATGTTTGATGGATCTGCAAAATACAATGGTAAATCAGTTAACAATTTTATTTGTTAAGGACCAAACTTCAACAAGATTTTGTGACAGCTTTTTTTGGATTTCGAATATATCCAGTCCCTTTATTTTGTGATATAACAGAAATGTATTTAAGAACTAGAATACATAAAGATGATCAAAAATACCAACAAATTTAACGGAGAAATCTGGATCCAACTGCAGAGGCTGATGTGTTTCAGTATTTGATATTAAACTAATATTTGGGATTAACTCAACATCTTTTATAGCTCAATTTGTAACCCAAGAACATGCAAGAAAGTATGCACAAAAATTCCCTTTGGCTTCTCAAGCTGTTTATGAAGCAACTTCATGGACAATAAACTAGTTTCTGTGATTGATAAAAAAAATAGGAATTAAATTATACAACTCACTCACTATGGAGTTCAGCAGGAATATTTGCATGAAAAAAACTAGAAAACAATTGTGCACAACATATAATATTTTTATATATGATTCTGGAGAATTAGCAAAGCATGATTTATTTGCTTTTTATTCTGTTGCTACCAAAGAAAATATGGTATATACAAAACAATTTTTGTTTAAAAAAATGACTATGTTGTTCGATCTGTTGGGTTTCTTATCATTATATATTATTCGAATCAAAATAATTATGCAAGAACTGTAAGTTTTTGGATGATAAAATTCCTGATAAGGTTGTGAATAATGTTGATCAATGATTTCAAGAACTAAAAGATCTTCCAATGATAAACATGGAGAGATATCTTTAAACAACTTCAACAGTTAAAAATCGGTCAATATACATCTTGTGCTGTTGCTTATTAACAATGTTTATATGACACAGGTGCGTCATATAAATATTGTTTATATGACACACTCAGGCTTTTGTCATAATGTCAAAAGCCTGAATAAGTCCATTGAAATCTGTTAGTATACTTTTTGTGTTAAATGCAATGCATTCTAGTAGAACTGCACTGAGCAATGAACACCTTAGAGAAGCATAATAAAATAAAAAAGGTGTAGCAGATTGAGATAAAAGTACAAAAAGACAGATGTCTAGTGGAAAACAAAGAGCCTCTAAGAAGAGAAATATTAAAATATAATCATATTAAATGTGGTAAATATAAAAATAAATGTGGTAAATACAAACAGAAATAATAAACAATAGTTGAGGAAAGTAAGTGTAATTAATTGTTGTGCTAAAAGTTGTTAGTGTAGAGCCTAAATGTGATGCACAAGAGTGTCAGTCATTGAGCTGAATTATTTGTTTTATAACGTTTGGTTTGTGTTATTTGTAACGTAAACATACATTATAGATGTGTGTCATGGATGTCTCACGGATAATATAGATTTGTGCCATACGGTATAGTATGAACACAAGAAGACCCCAGCTTTCATCCAAGACTGGTATCCCAACAAAAGGTTCCATTCTGGGTGTACACCAGAGTATCCTTAGGTTATAGTATCCCTTTGTGTTATCTCAAAAGCAATTATCTATGGGTATCCTATCAGGACAATTACCCCAAGTTTCTATATTGACACTGAGACCAGAGGCAACTAGGTAGAGTTCAATAAAATTTGCATACAATTGTAAGTGGTTTTTGGACATGAGTGACATCAAGTGTAATAATTTATTTCAGTATAATTTGGGTCGATGAGGGTTGTGAACTTTTTCAGTTCAAGACTTGACTAATTTAAAGCTGTCCTTGGTCTAAATCTTGCAGAGAAGATTGTTATACTTGTTTTGAATACCATTTTAAGGTAAATAAGAAAGTTAAAACCGTTCGTTGCCAACCATGTTGGATTCATTCAATCAAAGACTAAAATAAAACAATGGAGGTACATACCAAAACACTAGTATAGCTTTACTAGCTTACGAAATATCAGTGAATGAGTTTGAAAACAATAATGTATGATGGCATGGACCAAGTTTCCTGAATTCTTAAAAAAAAATGACCACAAAATTACATTAAAGTCACACACAAGAAACATCAATTAAATTAAAGAAAAACACTGTATTAATGAATTTTGCATTATCTACTGAAGTAATAAATCAACTGTTTGATATAGATATCTGGATCATAATCACCTTTGGTGATTAAAATCCAGATAATTCCTAATTGCATTAAGTATCAATTTTTCGGCACAAACAATAGCTATAATAATAATTTAATTGCCATAATGGGTATTAAAAACATTTAATTATAAGATTTTGTTAAGAGTTTCTTACAGAAAATTTCTATAAAAATGTCAAACAGATAAAGCTAAAATTTCTTAACCTCAAGTTTCTAAAAACGCTGAAATGTTATGCAACTGTCATCTATGTAAAAGATCAAACTTTTGTTATGTTAAAAATATTGAAGTAAATTAGTATAGTAAATTGTTAACCAAAACCCAAGAATTTTAAATTGATTAATTTTCTGTTGTTTACTAAAATTTATTGAAGTAAAGAGACTAAATTAGGAACAAATTAGATATAGTTAGGTGTGGAACATAGTTACCATGGCCCGCTGTCCTGATAGCTCTTTGTAAAATATAATAATTGTTTCTCATTTTTTTATTTTTAAAAAAGTGTATCAAAATTTTTAACTAAGTTTTGTGAACCCTTTTCTGTATCCCCTTTTGATTTTTAAATAAATATAATCTTAATGAGGTTATACTTTATAATAGCCTTAAGTTTCCAAAAACACTGGAAGAAATGTCATGCAACTGTCACCTATGTTAAAAATACTTTTATGTAAAAAATATTGAAGTTAATAAGTATAGAAATAGTTGGTGTTGAATATAATTTATAACCAATTAAATCAAATTAAGGGGGTTCAAACTTTATATGGTCATAATTTTTGAAGGCTAAGAAAAAATTCTATGAAATTATATATATATATATATATATATATATATATATATATATATATATATATATATATATATATATATATATATATATATACAATTGAGAATTAAAAAAAAAAGCATTTTATCAACTATTTGCTCTTTCATTGGGGGCAGCTGTAGCTAAAATTTTAGGCCTTTTTTTGTTTTCGGGCTCAATCATCGCATTTTTTTGCAATGCATCATTTAAAATAAATATAAACATATAAACTTTTTGAGTTTACTCCATGTCTGAAAAATTGTAAACATCAAAAAATGCTGCACCTGGCCCTGTGTATAATTATTAATTTAAATTAAAAACAATTTATTGAACTTACTAATTTTTTTTTTTTAATACAAAATTTCAATTTTTAAAGATAAAACTTTTAAGTGCTAAAAAGTTGTTATGATGGCAGTTAAACAAGAAATTCTTATGTTTTTAATTTAAAAAATAAAATTAACACTACAGATAAATATCATTTATTAATTTTTATTATTTATTATCAATCTTCCAACATTTTAGCTGGGTTTTTTTTTCAACTTGTATAGTATTTGTAAGGTAATTATTCAAATTTAATAATTTGTTTCCAAGATAAATTGATGGAAAATTAAATTTTAATAATTAAAAACTAAATTAAAAAAAAAAAGGTGACACTATTATATATATATATTTTTTAATTAAAAAAAAAATTAAAAATATGAGCATTAAACTATAATAAAATCAAAC